TATGATTTTGAAAACGTCAAAACGTTTTCAAAATCATATCCAGTTGCTTGAGTAACTGTTTTTTGGCTAATGTATTTGAGTTCTTTCATAACTCTGAAATAATTGAGCTAGCTAGAGTAGAGCACTGTAATTTGATCAGGTGAGACTAGGCAGGGGTTTGTGATCTTTCCACTTGGGTGGGGTCTTGTATTTGTGAAATTGTGCATTTTTTGTTTTCTTTCGTCAAGTATTTGTGAGGCAGATGTCTTTCAAACTTTCAAAGGAATACCTTTCCCATCCTTTTTTTTCATGTACATTGTAACAAGTGTTTATGCACTCAGCAGTGTAGTCTCTTCACAGTTTTGTTTAACTTTAAGTAAAGGTAGATGATTTAACTTGAATATCACAGATTCACAGGTGCGTTCACAGGTGACTTGATTTGTTTTTTAAAGAAGTAGGTCAACCGTTCAACATCAATCACTCTAGAGAGGCTTCCCCAGAATGCCTGTACCATACAGGTGGATAAGGAATTGTGAGTTAAAGTAGAGAAGAGAATCAAAAGTTTCTTAACAAAATGAAGAAAATGGAACAAATATCTAGATATCAAACTCTGCCATGGACTTTTTTCTCTCTAAATGCAAGGTGGAATGTTTGTTGTTCCTTCCATCTAGTCCCCAGAGTATTTTGGAACTTTCCAAACAAACAGACCTGGTTCCAAAATAGACACATAATTGGCACTTGCAATCTTTCAGTCCCTCAAGTGGTTCAGGGCTTTGATTTGTTTATTCCCTGAGGTATTGCATCAACAGTTTTCCCAATTTAGATCACTTCTTCAACCACAGTCTACAACTACAAGGTACATGTACATAGCAAGTATTTAAAACCCACCAGTCCAGAGTTTTGAATGGTAAGATTGTCTATAGCTGGAGGCGACCACCTCCCTTCACATTAAAATTCAGGCCATGTTGGGATAGGGGCTAAAACGTGCCAAGAATAAACAGGGCTGTCCACCTCTGGGTAAACTGTTATTGACAGGGGGGCGTTGTCATGCAAATACCAGCTTATCAAGGTCCAGATGGTATTCTGCAATGCCAGCAAAACAAAAGATAAGATGTTTTGAGGACCTTTGATATTGCAGACCTTTTGTGGTGTCCAAAGTTTAAGGGGAGAACACTCAGGTGTTATAAGTGAGTCAGATTTAGTCCAAAGAGTTGAAAAGCTGCATGAAAGTTCAGTGAGCTGGAGTTTACTGAGTTTTTACTTCCAATCCAAATATATTACATAACCGACAAAGGTTTGGACCGTTTTCCAGGTCTCTGCTCCGAATAAAAGCAAGTTTTTACCTGCAGGTGTCATTGAGGTCATTGTTCCATATAAGCATCCTTGGTACAACCTTTGACATTCCTTTAACTGATAAGGAATTTTCTATAATAACATTGACTTTTTAAGTCTCCTCTTGACATAACTAAGATTTGCCATTCAATTCTGGTGAGATAGCAGGATATATGTTTTGACATAAGTGACCTTTGCCATCCATTTTGTCCAGAATAGACCTGGACAGCTTTTGACATGACCAACATTTCATTATTTCCAAATAACAACTTTTCAAGTCAAATTTTGACATGACTAAGCTTTGACATTCTGACCCCCTCCCCAGGTGTCATTCAGGTGTCATTTCAAGAGGACAAAGATGGCTTCATCCACCTGGTGGCACACCCGTGTGAGACCAACCACTCCGGCGGGCACTCCGAGTCGGACAGCTCGCCGGCGGGGTCTGCGGAGGAGGACAACACGAGCGCCGCCAGCGTCCATCGCACCAAGCGACGCAGACGGCGAAAGGAGAAGGAAGGCATCAACACACACGAGATAACACACAGGTAACACTAACAGCTACATATTTAAAGGGAAATGAGCATTAACACCTGTGCTGTGCATGGTTAGGCC